TTCTTTTGATGGAAAAAATCCAAAAAATAGAAGAAAAAAGAAAAAAAAAGAATGGGGAAATGAAATATGGAGAAAAAAAAAGAAAGGAAGAAGAGAGGAGAAGGAAGAGGGGAAAAAAAGAATGGAAGAGAAGGAAAGAAACAGAATAAAAATGAAAGAAAGAAGGAAAAAAAAGATGGAAGAAGGAATGAATGCACTCTTGGCTGAGAGACATTTTTCAAGGAAAGTGGAGGAACAAAGACAATGAGAGAAGGAAATAGAGAACCAAGAGAGGAAAATGAGTAGGATATTAGTCAATCAGACTTTACCTGAAACTCTTTGCAGAAGATGCATGAATATTATTTGATGTTGCAATGAAATTCAACATTTCTGCCTGTAAAGCATAAGACCAAAATGCATCTGAAGAAAATTATTCTTGGCAGCACCTCACCCCGTCCATTCATATGCAATCTGCAGCCAGTATGTGTGCATATAAAAGGTAAGAGTTGCAGAGCAGTGCAATGAAGAAGCAACAGCTGTACTTTGGGTTGCAAATGTAAATTAGTCATTTCTCGGCAGAAAGGTATGGTTTACAAACTACTTCAAATCTTAATTGTTCAGCTAGAACCGTCTGAACATTGTATATCCATAACATTTGGGCTTATGGCCATATCAAGTTGAAACACTCGTTCTTGTATGATCACCAAAGTTAAGCAGCATTAAGCCTGGTCAATACCAAGATGGATGACTGCTTCAGAATACCAATTTTTTTTTTTTTTTTTTTTAAGCGTTTCACCCCAAGCAAGGCAGGAAGCCACTAGCACGCAAGGGGGTACAGAGAGTTGAAGCAAGAGCAAAGAGGAGTGATAGAGGAAAGGATGAAGAGAAGGATAGGGGATAGAACAAGGCATCTGGAGACGTCGATTGACATTACATTTGAATAGTTGGAGATTATAGCTATCAGGGCAACAGGAAAAGGGGAGGGAGTTCCACAGTTGAGAAGTGCGAGACCTGAAGCTACGCACAAAAGAAAGGTATGAATCCACCTCTTCTCCCACCAGCTTTTAGTTAATTAGTAGAACTTGTATCAGTAAAATCATTATCATCTCCCCACCAAAATTCTTACACTCTAAAACTATTTCCTGGTTTTAAATAACCTATATGAGGTTGGTAAGCCATAAAAAACAAATCAGTTAATCAATCCTTAACCTTTGTGTAGTATCAGGTTTTCAAGGTCACATTATGTATGTTTATTTATGATCATATAAAATCTGTGATATTTATGTACATTTTATACTCAGTACACTGTTTACATTATTTGGACTATTGTCCTCATCTTTGTCACCGTATTTATTATGTTATTTAAGTCATGGCAATTATGTGTGAAAAATAATATTGCCCAAAATATCCACCAAGGCTTTGGTGGCACACTTCCACTCAATAGTCATAATTTTTGATGACGTCTCTGCATAGTTGCTCCTCAATCTCACCAATATACCTTATTATCTCACCCTTCAGCTGCAGAATTATTGTTGGCTTGTTGGCATAGGACTTTTGAGATGACCTCAAAGGAAGAAATCTAAAGGCGTCAAGTCGCATGATCATGGTGGCTAATTGACTTTGCTGTTTTGAGATATGATGCAACCTGGGAACTTCTCATTCAAATTCTGTTTGAATGTCCATTTTCATAATAGCCTTTGATAACTTTAACACATTGTTTGATTGTTAATCTTTCCATGGTTGAAATTTCTAAAGACTTAAGTTGTTAAATCTGAAAGAAAAATAAAAAAAATCATTAGACTTAATTCACATTTAAAATTGATCCAAGTTATTGGAACATCCTTTACATTTTAAGAATTCTACCTATTCTACTACTTAATTCTATTAAAATCTCTTTCTTTTTTTCATTTATTAAACCCAAGCATCAAAAATTTAAGCAAGTTGAGTAAGAATTCTTGTGTAAAAATTAAACCATCTTGGTACTTGTGGATTTTCAATCCTGATAGGAATGAATATTTATTGTATTATTAAAATACAAATGTGGCACAAGACCAAAAATGGGGAGGGGGGAAGCTGGTCATCACTATTCTAACTTTAACTTAATTAGTCACATTCATTGACCCAAGCAGACATTATAATAATCCTTCCACCATAATACCACATTTATACAAAATAAATCTACAAATCAACCATTTGCCCTTGCATGGAGTATTGCTGCCATATATGGTCTGGAGCCCCTTCTGTTTGTCTCAATGTCCTTGAAAAAATCCAAAGATGGATATGCAATGTAATTGGCCCTGATCTCAGCCTCAGTCACTCTCTCAAGGATGTGCCATTGCCTCCCTCTGTCTTTTTTCCAAATACTTTCACAGTAACTGCTCCAATGAGCTGCTTTCACTAGTCCCAGATTTCATGAATTTAAGCGTTCAACTAGGCTGGCATCTTGCTCTCACCCTTTTACTGTCAAAACTGTTAAATGTAGCCGTCTCTTCTACTCCAATAGCTTCAGGCACTTGTCATCTGTGGAACTCCCTCCCCATTTCTTGTTTTCCTGATAGATATAATCTCCAACTATTCAAATGTAATGTCAATTGATGTCCTGATCTATCCCCTAACCTTCTCTTCATCCTTTCCTCTATCACTCCTATTTGCTCTCACTCTAACTCTCTGTAACCCCTTGCGTGCTAGTGGCTTCCCACCTTGATTTCTTTGTGGTTAATAAGATAAACCACTTCTCAGTCTGCCATATTTCTGTCCTTCCTTGCCTAGAAGTCAGAATACTGTGATCACTTGTCTGTATCCCATTTGTGTGTTAACACTATTCTTATTCCGTGAATTTTTTACCTTATTACTGTTGCTTTGGCTACTTTTGTCATGCAAATATTTTGTTTGCTTAGTATTATTTTGGCCCTGTTTTTTTTCCTTTCTTTTGTTATTGTATATTGGAAACTTTATCAATTCTATTTGTTGGGCATTTCTGCCAATTACTCTGCAGTACTTGCCAAAATCCTAAGTTGCTTATAAAATTAGTAGCTGTATAATAAAATAGAACAATTATAACTCTATACTGTAAAAATAAGATTTGTTCTGACTGTCAATCTTATTAAGCTCAATAAGAGATTAACAACAATTACTGATAATAAAATAAAACCATTATAACAATACTAGTGTATCTGTGCCATTAAAATTGACAGAAGGAATGTATTATAAGTAATAAGTATTATATTGTAAGTAATTTTCATTTAATCCAAGTACAATTTTGTAATTTAAAATAGTTTATGGTTAATTATTGTAACCTAGGAAAGGTTACTGAATAGAATAATTACATGAAGGTTGGTAATGAATGATAATACTTAGGACAAGAACAACACATATAAAATTCATCAACTGTTAGAAGTGAGTCAAGTGAATTCCACAATGAATCTCCAACTGCAAACCAACTAACTGCTGTATTTATGGGAATGGGGACATACCCATTATCGTTCATAGGTATGCTACAACATTAACATTAATAATTGAACAGTGTATAAACACTTAAGGAAAGATATCTATATATTATCCTCATAAATGTTACATATTTACAACCAAAATTATGTTTAATGCAAAAGTTCCCAAAGCACAATATTTTTTGTGTAAACTTTGGAAGGTCTGAGTTATCCTTGACAGTCCGTAGATTCAATCTGTAATTTCAGAGTCTGCTTATTTCTCATCCTACTAAGAGCAACATTTTTTAAATTTATTTTTTTTCTCAAGCTATTACCAAATTCCACAAGATGTGCTCCGAATTGTAACATAAAAACTGCTTTAAAACTATCTAATTATTTAATTGTAAAAGTTTTTGATAGCTATCATAAATAATATAAATGAAGGATGTAGTGTGAATAAAAAAAACTCTTTCAATGACCAATGAATTATTACAAGAATTGTTCATGTATGAATTCACCTCTTCTCCCCTCAACTATGGGTTAATTAGTAAAAATTGTATCACTAAACCATTATCTCAAAAGAAAAGAAAATAGAAATTCTTACAATCTAAAAATATTTTCTGGCTTTAAATAACCTGCAAACGGTTGATAAGCCATAGAAAATCAATCAAAAATTGACTTAATAAAGGATAAAAAGAAAGAAAGAGAATCATATTCAGTGGTTACTAAAATCTACAATAAGATAAATTAATATTCCTAAAGTGCCAGAGTAGTGATGCTGACAATTGGGTTTCTTTTAAGGGAAACATAAAAGTCCTCAATAAAGAAAAAATCGTAAGCTGAGTTTAATCTAAGATCTGCAGTAAGAAGAAATCTTTTATCTGTCATGTAACTTTTATCACAGTATATTATTATAATTGTTCTCTTTTATTGTTGTTCATTCCTTTTATTGTGCCTAATAAGATCTATGATAAAACAAATCTTTTAACCGTCACTAAAAATTGTGTCTAATAAGATCTATGATAAAACAAATCTTTTAACCGTCACTAAAAATTGTGTCTAATAAGATCTATGATAAAACAAATCTTTTAACCGTCACTAAAAATTGTGTCTAATAAGATCTATGATAAAACAAATCTTTTAAGCATCACTAAAAATTGTGTCCAAGATCTATGATAAAACAAATCTTTTAACCATCACTAAAAATTGTCTAATAAGATCTACAATAAAAAGAATCTTCTATTTTTCATATAACTTTTATTACAATATCTATTTATATATATATATATATATATATATATATATATATATATATATATATATATAATACGCCACATATATATATTTACATTTTTTTGGTGTGTGTAACAATTGAGGGTCAGTGTGCAAAATAACGATGACCCACCAGGTGCCATGCTAATTTGGTCCCGTCGACATGTACTGATATCGCTATCAAAGTGGGTTCATATATATAAATTTTCCCAATGTATTTGCACATAAGTGAATTTAATGAACCCAACAGGAATTGTAACTTGGCTCTTCGACTAACAATTTGAAGTTGTTATCCATTACACCACCCACACATCCAAGCTTACATTACAGCACCTGGTATTCCCAAGTGCTTACCCATCTAGGTGCTGCTCAGGCTCAACATTGCTTACCTTTAGTGATCATATGAAAACTGATGTTTCAATGTCATGTGACCGTAAGCCACTTTATTAATTTGAAAACTTTCACATTTTCAGTTAAAGGAAGGTTTTTACAGCTTTCCTTCAGCCAATCTGAATTGCCAGCATCACTACTCTTGTGTTTGGGGACTGTTATTAAGTAAAGCTTAAGAATTGTTTATTTCTATGTTTGACAGAAAAACCCAGCCAGGTCCCATTAAAAGGTCACAAGACTTGACCTCTTTCTTACACGTTTCTGTTTTATCTTTTCAGGATTAGGAGTGGACATTTACCAACTCCCTTTTATCCACACCCTGACCAGCAACCTTGTTTCTTTTGTGGTAAGTGAACTTTTACATTGTTCTTTTGCATCTTTCGCTTTCTTTGCTTTTATTATGTGATTTTAGGGCTGAGATCCTTTAAGGATCAGGAGGGCCTCAATGTCAATAGCAGCTTAAGAAGATAATGAGATTAAGATTAATAGTTATCTTGAAGGCATAAAAGATACACTGTGTAGAAAAAGATATGCAACATCTTTGCATTCTTTTCCATTGTCAGATATCTTGATAAATTTTTGTCAGAATTTCTCAAATGAGGAATTATTATATATTGATTCATTTGAACTTTGTTGCTGACAGCAACAGGATCAGATTTCAGGTCTAAATTGTTTGTCCATTTAAAGTACATTTATTAGAAGATTTAATCAATTTAAATGCAGGAGTCATAAAAAGCACTTCAAAATCAAAGGCTTGTCTAGTACTCTTTTACTGTTATCCACAGACACAGATAATGTTTCAGTTTCATTCAAATTATGTATGTACATGTGCTCAGATATATTTTAATTCAATGACAGGCCGAAACATATTTCTACAAAATTTTTAGAATAATTTTATTTATTCCAAATAATTTCCCAAAACTTCACTAAAAATTTTATAATTATCTGATATTTTAGGGTCTAAAAAAAATTAGCATATTTTTTTTCTTGTCTCCAAATTTACGATTTTATTGCTCAGCCCAGGGTAGGGGTTGTTCAGACTGAGTGAGAGGGGAACGTATTATTCCAATGTCTTATTTCAAACTCGGCCAAATTGTGTGTGTGTGTGTGTGTGTGTGTGTGTGTGTGTGTGTTCATGCACATTAAATGACACAAACACATGTAAGTCACTTATATATAACACTGACTGGAATGGATGACAAAATGGAAAAAATTCTATGTAATGCATTTCACCCTCTAAAAGGACATTGTCAGAGTAAAGTAATATTTTTATAGATGGAATTATATCTATGTAGAAGGATTGGGGAAATATATCATGTAAACATCTGTTATAATGACGCACTGAGGGGAGACACTGAAGATATAGGGACACTGAATTTTAAAAATTTCTGGCATCCATCATGTCTAGATGCATGGCTCAGCTGATCTCATTCGGTTTCTCAACACGTTTGTTTTTATTGCTATTGTTTTAAAATACCCCATATTTGGACAACAGAATATTTATGTAAAATCCTGGATGCAAATTTATCTTGAATGATTCAAAAATCAGTGCACTTTCTATACATTTTCATCTTAGTAAATTACATTCTCTTTTAATTAAAGCATACATACACATATACATCACATATGCACATACAAAGTCATATTCTGTGTGTGAGACAGAGGATCATTTCTTCTTTTATTATCTAGATTTGCTGGGATTAGTGTTCTCATTTTGGTTGTTTTTGTCATATCATATTCCTTTCTAGTACAGAAATAAATGTCACCTGAGAGCCTTTAACAAAATTAGGCATATGTGAAGACAAAGTGGAAAATTTATAAATAACGCATTTGCTGAGAGTGTCTGCTCTTTGTGGCTTCCTCAGGTTAAAATTAACCTCAGAAAGCCAGAGAGAGCAGACACACTTGGCAAAATGTGTGGTTTATAGATTTTCCACTTTATCTCATTATCTTCAGTTTTATTTTGGATACTATTATACATCTTACAAATGCACAATTAGGCATAGACAAATTAGACACGTGCATAATGGTAATTAATATACAGGATGTGATGGATAAATTGTCACCTAAATTACGCAAAAATGAAAATAGCATTGACATCTTATTTTAAGATATATTTACCAAAATTACTAAAAAAAATCTTGAAATACTAAAGAGTAGATTTATTCAATAAAATCCCATTGGCTTCAACTACCACTTCCAAATGATTTCTTCTGGATGATCTCCTTATTTAAGTTGGTGAATGTTGCCATAATCCTTGTCTTCAGTTCATTTTTGGTGTTACAAGGAGCTTTGTTAGTCTCTTATTCAACTGTGCCCCACAAATAATAATTAAGGGGATTGCAGTCTGGGGAGTTAGGTGGCCAGATGTAAAGAGTGATATGGTCGCAGGAATTATCTGATAGCTATAACAGGTTACTCCTGCTTGTGTGGCATGGTGCAGAGTCCTGTTGTCAGACATAGGGTCTTCCAATAGCTACTCTCTTGACCCAGGGTAGCACTACCTTCTCAAGGCACTTGATGTAGGCCTCTATGTTGAGTCTGAGGCCCTGTGGGAAGATGAATGGAAGCATAATGCTGCCATCACTAGTGATCACAACAAAATCCTTCGTAATCACCATTAGATTCATCTAACGCTTTCTGAATCCTTTGCACTGTCCTCAGAATGACACCCAAACATTCTGAAATGTTCATATTGAAGTTTCCTGGTGAATGCCAAGCAGTACAGCATGCCGTTTCCAAATTTCTAGCAGAGTGAATTGCGTCATTGTGCTCTTCTTTTCAGAGATAATGCACAACTGACCCTACTATACTGTACAGTTGACAAAATCAAAAACAAACAACATGCATGGGGTAAATTAACAATATAAACTGGCGACAATTTACACATCGCACCCTGTATATGTGCCTGGGAACTGTTTGAAAATCATATTATGGGTTCAATATTAATATTATCAATGAACAGGCTAATTAGAATAAGAATCTAAAACTCTCACATGTAAAATTATTCACTTTTGGACTTTGTCAGTTAATCTCAGTTTGTGTATTGATCTTTTCTCTGAACTTGGATTCTTCTTCTCATAAGGATGTTAGAGATACTATACCTCTTTTCCCTCCCTGGTGGGTGATTATATATCTTCCTATTATCACAACACAGGGCAGGTGTTTGAATGCAGAGTTATCTTTCTGGAAATGTTTGTTCTCCAAAAATGAAAGAACTAAATTTGTACTGTGAGGTAAAGAAACAGATTTATGCCTTTCACAAAGGCATCAGGGTGAAGGGAATGCAATGGTTTCAGACAGAATTTGCACTCAGCCTGCAGATTCCATTGTCCCTGCTGCTATGGGAATACCAAGTCAAGTGCTGGGGGTGAAATTTGATACATATGAAAACAATGAAAACAATGAAAACTTGAGAATTTGCCCAAATAGCAATATCAATATTACTAAATTTAGCTAACTTTGACGCAAGTCTAAATCAGACTAGGTGATTGGTATACCAATCTTCTAAATGAGAACTTGCATGCCCTGAAAATCAGCATTGGAAATCCTGACTTTTTACTTGGGCTCACAAAGCAATCATTGGTAAAAATAACAATACAATTTGTACCATAAGGCAAACATTGTTGTAAAATATGGGAGTGGTGTATTGATGTTGGGGTGAAACACCTGACTATGGGGGTTATAGGCAGAGAAACAAAGAGACAGAAGGTAACAAAATGACACTGCCTCAGAAGACACAGCAACTTTGGGAACAAAATGCCTATAGGACTGACTTGAACTAGTCAGACTTGTCTGTGCCTGGGTGGCTTTAGACTCTAGGCCTAGAATGGCTGGATACTGGAAGTTCAATCTGTCTTTACTGGACAGACAGGACTTCCAGCAACAGCTGATTATTGTTGTGCAGTGGGAACTAATGGAGGCGGTTATCAAAAATAGGTGGTGGGAGAGTCTTAAGGATAGGATTGGTCCTACACCATCATTATGGTCAGAAGCTTGCACTAGATAAGGTTAACAAGGTGAAGGCTCTTAAGGATAGTCTTTCCCAGGTTTCCCTAGAGACAGACCTAGCTAGGGAGGCAGCTAGTGGGCACTGGGCATCTGGTAGTTAGACATAAGTTATCTGGTAAAGCCATGAATATGGGTGCAAAATTGTGCAAGGAATAGATCCATCGAGGTTCCAATCATTATATTCGGGATGTTGATACCACAAGGAGGCATACTCTGAGGTTGGCCAATGGCATGTGTGAGGCGTTTCGGCAGCATTTCGAGAGCCAGTTTACCAGGGATCCTGTTTTTGGTGATGAATAGTTTTGCAGCTATTTGGCTAACTCTCCTTGGCTTTCACTGAGTGAAGCAGCTGGTTGTAAGGGTGAGATCACGGAGGGCAAAGTTTATGCAGCATTGAAGAGGATTGGTAGTTGTAAGTCTCTGGGACTTGATGGTTTACCCTATGAATTTTACTTCAAGCTATCAGACATCTTTGTTCCAATTTTGAGTGCTGTGTTCAACAATTGGTTCTGCCAGGGGTTCATCTCCGACAGAATCTCCAGAGGTGTGATCACACTATTGAAAAAAAAACAAGGGTGTTGGATGGGATTTAGAAAGTTATAGGCCCATAACTCTGCTAAACAAAGATCCTGTTGGGGTGTTAGCAGTCACATGCCAAGATTTTGTTGGTGCCCGAGCAGATTTGTTCTGTGAAGGGCTGAACAATTCAGAGTAACCTGCACAATCCAAGAGGGTGTAAAAGATGGTAAGCAAGCCAAGCTGATAAATTTGGATCAGTCCAATACATTTGATAGGGTTGACCATCAGTACCTGTCTGCTGCCCTGCAGGCTGCCAGATTCAAACCAAACTTCTGCTGGTGGATTGGCCTCCTGTATCATGCCCCCAGTGCTGGGATGCAAGTGAATGGAAAGCTGTTATGTGCTTTTGTGTTATCTTGGTCAGTTCATCAGGGTTGCCTGCTGTTGCCTCTACTTTATGCTTTGGCATTGGACCTTCTCCTTCACCAACTGAGGGAATCACTGTCCCTGGAGGGG